GCTTAATTTTTTTTTTTTTTTTTTTTTTTTTTTTGGTGGGGAGAGGACTGGGGCTTGAACTTGGGGCACTCAACCACTGAGCTACATCCCCAGTCCTATTTTTAATATTTTATTTACAAACAGGGTCTCACTGAGTTGCCTAGCACCTCACTTTTGCTGAGGATGGTTTTGAACTCTTGATTCTGCTGCCTCAGCCTCCTGAGCTGCTGGGATTTCAGGCGTGCATCACCACGGCTGGCTTAAAGCAATCTTGACCTGCTGGAGGCAAACCACCAACTGACTTAGAATCTGGAGCAAGACACGTTTGCTCTCTGACCCTTCTGCACCATCCCAGGCCCATTTCTCCCTCAATGATCTACACCTTCAGGAAGAGAGAGACTGGCTATCCTTGGTTTCACTCCAGTTTTAGAGCATTTTGCCATGTGTTGGTGCTGGGCTAGGAGCTGGGGACTCAGAGAACTGGTTCTACTTTCTCAGGTGATCCAGTAGGTAGGAAGTAACACAAATAAACCTTGGGCAGACAGAGAAGTTTGGGAAGGGCCCATTCAGTTGCAACACTGGGGTAGCATCCTGCAAGTCTTGGATTTCTGGAAGATACTATCCAAATGGTTCACTGCCGTGTAAGGAGAGAAGAGAGGCTGCTTACCTGATGTTGACATAAGGTGGGAAGGGGAAGTAGGATACCACACTGAGAACACCTCCTCAAAATGTCATAGGCTGCCTCATCTTCTGTAGGAAAGGCAGTCCTTGGCTTGTGCTCAGCCTTCAAAGGCAGGTTCATGGTTCTGTTTTTGTTTCTCTGTGCTTTCTGTGTTGAATTTTCAGGAAAACGAGGAAATTTGTTTCTATATCTTGTCTTTGGACGAACATCTCTCTCAGCGGTGGACGTCTGATTTCCAGCAGTCTCACTTGGAAGGGGCAGAGGAAGAATTTTTGGCTTTCCAGATGGATGATGTTTCCCAGACTCTGAGACTGAACAACACTTACCCTGCAATTGTGAGTAATATATCAAATTAAAAGGTGACCTCATTGGTTGAACAGTATAATTGATTAGATTATCTGAAAACTTTCTTCCAGAAGCACCTACATAGGATGGATGAAATATGACAGATATTCAATTGAAGTTCATAGTTGACTTTAAATGAAAGAGAGAAAACCGAGTTCCAGGAATGAAGGTCTGAATGGTTGCTGTGATTTGAAGAGGTCCCCTCCAAAATCCACGAATGGCCAGTGGGATAGTATTAAGAAGCAGGGCCTCTAAGAGGTCATTAGATCATAGGAGCCGGAGACTCAGAGATCTGGCTCTCCCTGCAGTTGCCCGGCACTGTGGCATGCCATTGATGGAATTAAGGACTTTCTGAAAGCAGCTTCATGCAGCATTTGATTAACTCGATCTTCTACCTTCTGCTACAGGAGGCTGAAGCAAGAATACCCTCACCAGAAACCAAATGCTAACACCTTGATCTTGGATTTCTAACTTTCAGAATTGTGAGAATTAAATTTCGGTTATGTATAAATTACCTTGTCTGTGGTATTCTGTTACAGCAGCACAATTAGACCATGGCACGGGTTAAGCAAATGAGCAGACACTTGGTTTTGGGAGGAGATGTGGGGTCAATCTTGTAAGTAGGGGCTTGGATGAGAGAAACATCCCATTCACATAAGGTGGGGAAATGGAAGTAACAATCTCCTCTCCCTGCCCAACATAGGGACTCGTAAAGGCTAAAATATGGTGACTAAGAGAAAAGAATCCGCTAATTAGAAAAGGAAAGTGGTAGAAAGCTTTCCTATTTTGGGCAGAGTTTGAATGTGAAGAAGCAAAAAAATAAAAAAAATAAAATAAATGTGTCCTTGCAAATTTGAAATCACAGGCCCATGCCATTGCAGTGCTTAGGGTTCAGATTTATATTAGCCTCATTTTTGGAGAATACATAAGCAGAAAAAAATTAACATAAAATTGAGAAGTAATCACACAATATCTCTGGAAGGTACATAACCTCAAAATAGATCATAAAGGATTCTCACAAGTAGAGATCCACCAAATAAAAACTCACAGTCCAAATTTACAAACACTTGTGGGAACAATCCACCTTGAGTAAGTCAAAACAAAGAGTAGTGTTAATGTCCAAGAAATTCAGATAATAGAACTATATCTAGCTAAACTATCATTCAAAAATTCAGGGGGGAAAAAGCTCATTTTCAGGCAATTAAAAATTTACTACTCACAAGTTCTTGCTGAAAGGACCACTGATACATACATCAAGTAGAAAGGAAACCATGGCAAGAAGGAAAACTTGTGATCCAAGAAAGAATGTGAGCAAAGAGAAGAGTAAACTTGTGAGTATACCCAAGTAGGCATGAATTGCATAACTTAACAATAACTCTAATGACTAAAGAGGGGTAGTAGGAAAACAAAGCAGGTCAGAATTATGGAAACATTTTCATATAAAATAGGATTAAAGGGTTAGTTAGCATATTTTCAAATCCATATACGTTTGTAAAGAGGGTTGAGATAATAATTCACTGCGGACTTTATAAAATTTTCATATTTAAATGTTATTAATATCTACTAAAATAATAGAAAGAAAATGCAAAATTGCCAAATCAATAGAAAAGAAGAAAAATAAGAAAGAAAACTGGGCTGGGGATGTGGCTCAAGCGGTAGCGCCTTCGCCTGGCA